GTTCAAAGGAGAGGATGCCAGTTGTTCGCCTGCAGCGTAGTTCTTGAATTTACTATCCTTTGACAAGCCCTGAAATTCCCCAATAATAACTATCATCTGATTCCTTTTCAGGCTTGTTTTTCAATCTGTTCATTCAATTAAAGTTTCTCCAACTCGCTCCTGGCCCCTCTTCATCGCCACCTGAGGCCTCGGCCATTGAGTTGGTGCATTTGCCTTCCTCTTGCCTTCTCTCCTTTTGCATCTTCTTTCCGGTCTCCCTCCTTTCTCAGGGAAAATTTCAAGCTCAAAAATAATGAGTCATGCTGGCAACTTCCCCCCCCCCCCACTCTTTTGAAATCCCCAGATTCCACCTTAGTTACTCCCTCTTTTTGTATCTTTCCCACCAACTCTCTTTCTCATCCTTTCTTTCTCCTGATGATTTTCACTCTCTTTGTTCATCTTCCTTCTGTCTCCTAAGGTTGCAATGCTTTTTGTGCTATTTCCTCCTGAGTGACTCTGTGTTTTTTCAGAGCAACTCCTGATGAAACAGAAATCCTCCTCCTCTTCTCTCTTACTTCTTCTTTAATGCAACACTTCTGCGTGACTCCAGTCTTTTGAGCTTGTGGCCCATGGCATTTTTTTAATTCTTCTCTTTCCTAATTATTAAATCTTTTTGACTTTGTTAGTTACATATGAAGACAAGAATATGTACACTCTTGCTCTTATCTTTTTGTCAAAGGAACCAAATTTCTTGCCTGCTCAGTCACTCCTGGTTGCTCCCATTTCTTGGGCTGGGCCTTCCCTCCTTCCCTTCCTTCCCAGGCATCTTCCTTGGCAGAGAATCTTTTGCCAATCTCACCTCTTTTCTTTTTTCCCCAAGGAATCGTGTTACTCTCCAAGGGGAAGTAAAGACCCGGGTTAGGGTGGGGGTACCAAGCAGCACAAGTACCCTGGCTTGAATTGTGCAACCTCGTGCTACTGCTGCGACCTCCAAGCAGCTAAGACTCCCGTCCAAGGAAAGGGAGACAGAGAAGCAGCCAGCAGAGGACTGTTTATAGACTACGTGTCCAGCAGCAAATGAGATACCGAGCTTTTCTCCTTTCCTTTCCTTTTTCTACGGCCCATTTGTCTCCTCAAAGTAAAGTCACTTGAAGAGGCTTATAAAGATAATGAAGCGTCTTTTGGCATCTTAAAAAGCAACATGTTAATTTCAATATAAACTTTTGCAGACAAACGCCATTGGCTGTTCTCCAAAAGTAGATTGGTAAGTACACAGATCTCCTTGAGTGAGGTAACTGAATAACAAACATACTTAATTTCCTTAAAAATACTTCATCCTAATCTTACCACAGGAACAAAGTTGAAGGTTTTGCACTTAGTTTGGGGGGGACGGCACTGTTCGCTACCACCACCATAGACAAATAAATGTTGCTGATGGTTTGGTCAGATCTTCTTTTTAGTTGTTCCTGAGCTTTGGAAACTGCCTACCCCAGCTGATTTGGGAGGGCCGGAGTCTTTGGAATGCCCCGAACAGACATTTTAACCGACGCTGTAATCAGTTTTAATTATTTGGATTGTTCTGATTGTTTAATTTGTTTTTGGATTCTGTAATTCGGATTTTGTTCTGTTTACCAACCAAGATAAACAAGTGATAGAAAGTGTGGAAACGTAACAAACAAAATAAATATTTAAAAATAATAATTCCAGAGAGATTTTCAAGTGACTGATAGTCAGCTGCTTTCCATCAAGTTTCCAGCATGGACCTTGACCTGCCATGAGATTCTGTCGTGGAAATAGTTACAAAATATAAAAAGCATAACAGCAACCAAAATCAGTGTTTCCCATAATGTAAAAGTCGTAATAAGAACACAAAAGACCCAAGATCAGCAATCAGTCAAAGTGCATTTCTTCTATTTCTACCCTTCAGATGGTAATATGTAGCCAGGCCAGTTAACAGTAATTAAAAACAGTCCAAAAGAGCTCTGAACAAAACAGCAAATCAAGAAGACTGCAGCTGCTGGTCTTTGGAGAAGGTCTTCCAGACTGCCTGGTGGAAAACCTCAGAGGGCTTTGATGTGATAATGGTCACCTTGAGTCCTACTCGGGAATCAATTTGGAACTGGGACACAGTATACTGTAAATGGGTTGCTTTCTTCCACCATTTTGACCCAGTCAGAATTCCAGCAACAGCATTTTGTTCGGGTTGAGGTGTCCAAGTAATTTATAGAGTTATCATTTAAAAGATCATTGAAGTGGCACAGCCTGGTATATTTTAATTCAGTTAAGTATAAAAGGTCTGCCATGATACACTTATTGATGATACCCACAGAAGGGAATATGTGCCGCTCAGGGTTGAACTGTGGAGTTCTTGGTGCTCTCTGAGTTTGGTGGTTTGCTTGCAGACATTTCATTACCCAACTTGGTAATATCGTCAGTCTAGTGAGTGTGGGGATTGCTCCCTGTTTATATACAGTAGCCTCCCCTGCCATTGTTGGTGGGGGTGTGATTTCTCCTTGGTAGTTCCTTGATTAGGGTATTGTTTTCTGCTTGACTGTTTGTCTCCTTGGTAGTTCCTTTGTTTCCTTCTAAATGTGTTCTCATGTTTTTGTTTCCTTCAGCTAAGAAGGAAACAAAAGACCAGAACACATCCTCTTCAGCAGCCAACACCCAGATAAGCAGGGAGTAACACCACATAAACAGTCAGGCAGAAAGCAACACCCTAATCAAGGAAAAAACCAGACCGCCACCAAAACTGGCAGGACAAGCTACTTTATATAAACAGAGAGCAAATCCCACATTCTTTCACACTGATGATATTACCTAGTCAGGTAATGAAACGTCTGCAAGCAAACCACCAAGCTCAGAGAGCACCAAGGACTCTGCTTTTTGATGTGTTGATCACATGTGGTCTGGATGATCCATTGGCATTTGGCAAATAACCCGTAAAACATTCATTGAAGGCAGTGGATCAATCTGGAAAGATTTCTCAAGTATTGGCCTCGCAAGAGAGTGACCAGGGCAGCAGTGAATCTGAAAATTAAGTCTCATGAGAAACAGTTGAAAAGGTGAAGTATGTTTAACCTGGAGAAAAGATTAAGAGGATACGCAATAAAATATTTCAAGGGCTATTGCACAGAATATGGAGTAGGAATATCATCTCTGAACAGGAATCACAGAAAAGCAGATTTTGGCTAAACATTAATCTTAACAGTGCAAACCATCAGGAGTAAAACAGACTGCCTTGAAAGGGGGTGGGCTCTCTTTTGCTCTAGAGACTGAATCAACACTGCACGAGTACCTGGTGGAGAATGCTGTTGATCCATTCTGCCTTGCATCAAATAGATTGTTAGACTAGATGATCTCCAAATACTTTCAAGCCAATATATACAAGATTGGTCTCTTATTACTGGTTTCTTCTCTTTCTTGCTTGCTAAATTGGCTCCTTTGTCCTCCTGTTGAACTTCCACCCATATGGGAGTGCTCTTATTGCCTGAGCCATTCTGTTTTGGTACAGGTTTTTCTGTTCTTTCTTTCTTCTCTAACCCTCCATAACCTAAATTATCATTTTTTTAAAATCCTCCTTTTCTGTACTATATTCCTTTTATACCCTGAGACTGCCCTGAATTTTTCGAGAGGCAAGTTATGAGTATGAATATGATTATGGGTACATTAGCAAGGCAGTTTCAGAGTTGTACTTTTCTGAAGCAATCAAGGGCGAGGACAGTCAGCATCACTAATAAAAAGACTCAATGCATCCTTGTGATTTTGTCTCTCGAATCTTGATGTCAGTAGGATTAGGAGAGAGGATCACCTAATTGATACAGAGAATTGTACTGCCCAGCCCAGCCCAGCCCAAGTGCTCTCTTTTCTGCTGCCATTTTAAGATGAGATTTAAAGGAGAAAAAAAGATGAATCAATCCGACAGAGGGGCTTGTGTTGGGGAAGTGTCCAAAATTCAAGATCTCAATTTTTTTTTTGCTGCCTCTGTGACCTGGCATGCTACAGTGACCTTACCAAAGCTGGTGATATGTGTGCTCATGCTGAACACTGCTTCCAGTGCCACCTGGATGTTTACGAATATTCTGTGTCACCAACCCAGCCACACTGAGATAATATCACCAAAATTGGCAATGATAAGCAGACGGTAATAGTCTTTCTTGGGAAGGTGGCAGTTAATATTACAGTTAAAGTATACTCCAAATAAGAGTGGCCCTAAATTTTTATTTCTTGTATCCTAGATTTCAGTGTGAGAATATATTAAGCCCTTCTGTACTCCAACTTGTTGGGTTTGCAGTCTACTTTGGACAGAAAGTGAGGGTGCCTGCTGAGCTTCTTCCTTGATTTCCCCGTTCACAGTCCCTGACCTGGGAAGGCAGGAGATGTGGCAGCGAGGCAAGCTCTTCTGCCAGAAGCAGAAGTGTGGCAGCCTCAAAAATCTCATTTTCAGCATTTGCTCAGCAGCTGGAATTTTGGTCTGCTTCTGACATGCCTCTGCCAGGGAGCAGAGGCATGTTTTTCCCCGTTGGTAGCACAACTCATTATATAGATGTACACTCTTCAGTGTTCAGGTGCACATACAAATTGTGGGTAGGCACATCATTCAGCTCTCCAATCATTTTTGCTTTCTTTGATTAAAAAAAACCTCAAAATCTGATATGATTCGTATATTTGTTTATGTACATCTTCTTCCTAGAGTTTTTCCTGCAGGGTCTGCTTTTTCAGACCAACCAAGCGTTGATCCGCTGGTTGTGACAGGAATTGACCAACCAGCTTGTCGCCCAAGCCTGACGCCGTGGGCCGAGAGGGAGGGCCTGGCCCAGAGTCGCCCAGCCGGCTTTCATGCCTCAGGCGGGACTAGAACTCTCCGTCTCCTGGTTTCTAGCCTGGAGCCTTCACCACCAGACCAAACTGGCCCTTGTATATTTATTTTTGTATATGTGTGTTTTTAATTACAACACAGTCACCCCATCCCCCACTGTTCCAGGTTAATGACAATTAAATTTCATTGTAACTTTTTAAAGGTAAACAAAAGTACCTCTGTGCCAGCCGAAATGACTGCACCATTGATAAGTTCCGAAGGAAAAACTGCCCCTCCTGTCGCCTGAGAAAATGCTACGAAGCAGGGATGACTCTTGGAGGTAAGTCCTGCCATCTTTAGGGACTGGTGGGTTCACCAAGGTTGTGTTGTGCTCTTTGGATGTCATAGAACTAATGAAACTGAAACTCCTCTGTGGAATTGCAGGATTGGCTCTCTCTTTTTTTCTCAGAAAAGATAAAAATTTATGCCAAGCATGCATTAGATTTGTGCCATTCACTGATGAGCTTTTGAGAAATTCACAGCCCTTATCCAATGGGACAGTGAAATGGATCTTCTGTGCCTTTATGCAGGATCTAAGCCATCCCATCAGATTAAACTCCAATTCATAAATAGATGAACCTGAGCCTGTTATAAACACATGTGCCCTTATTCCCCAGCCAAGGGACAAAAGATAGCTGGAAGAAGCCTTGTCTTGAGAAATCAGGGGAAAGGGCACTGCCTTTAGCAATAAATTTGCAGAACAGGTTAGGAATGGTGAAGACTGGGCAAAATACGTTACCACTGCAAGAAAAGAATTCCATACAAAGGGCTGAAGCATTCATACTTGTCTGTCTGTCTACTTCAATCATATCTCCTTATGAGCTTGTTTTCTAAGATAAGCAGCTTCAACTGCTACCTCCTGTGTTCAAGCTCCTGCCTGTCTTGGTTGCCTTTTTGTGCACCTTCTCCAAGCTCTAGGATATCCTTTTTGAGATGTGGTGACCAGAACACGTGAAGCTGCCTTGAATGGGGTCAGATCAGGGACTGATCCATCAAGATAGCACTACCTTCAGTACTCCACAGCAGGGCTTTCCCAGCCTCAGAAACATAACCCAGGCCTGCACTAGCATATACACGGCTGTTTGCCTCAACTTCAGTGCCCAGCTGAAGAAGCACTGCTCCTCCCAGACTCACCTCTAGGCAGTTCTAGATTTCCAACTTGACTCACTGACACCTGGAGTTTGAGGTAAAAACATAGAGTGACGCAACTTTATTTACTTCTTTTAATTTAATTAATGCCACCTTGTCCTTCTGAAACCTTCCTCTTGTGGGGTTTCAAGGCAGTTGACCTCCCTGCCCTGCATTCTGTTCCCAGTTGCCCTCTGTTTCTTCAGCATTTACTCTACTCCTAAGTAACTCTAGGATCTACCTGGAAATGCATATACAGTGGTACCTCGAGTTACGAATTCAATCCGTTCCGTGACTCTGGTTGCAACTTGAATTGCTCGCAACACGGGGCAAATTTTCCCATAAGGTTCAATGTAATTAACGTTAATCCGTTCTGGCATGGAGGACAGGGAGGCGGCTATTTCTTGGAGGGAGAGTCAGGGGCGGGAAAATGGCCACGGACCACGTGTCAGGGGCGGGAAATGGCCACGGACCCATGTGTCAGGGGCAGGAAAATGGCCGCGGACCACGTGTCACGGGGGGGAAATGGCCGCGGACCACGTGTCACGGGGGGGGAAATGGCCGCGGATCCGGTTTGTAACTCGAGGTGGTTCGCAACACGAAGTAAATTTTTGGGGCCGGAGCTGGTCGTAACACGAAAAATTCGTAAGGAGGGGCATTCGTAACTCGAGGTACCACTGTAGTCTATTATTGATGGTTGATTTAAGCTGAGATGTATTGCTGATTCTGTCTCAAATTAGTGCATTTAGGTTTTCTGCAGCACTTAATAATTTAGAATATCAGGTGCTGGAGTAAAATTGACAAGATTTCACTTTGTACAATTTCACTTTGTAGCCCAAGTATTTATTTATCTATTTATTTTACTAGTCGTATATGCCACTCCAGTCATGCTTGACTTGCAGCAGTTTACTGGCCTCCTACAGTAATAAGATTAAAACAAACAGTATAAACATAACAATATAATAAAATAACAATGTAACAACAATGTAATCAGTAGTATTCCATGCTTCAAGGAATAACCGTAACACCGTCCACTTCAGGGGAGATTAAAATGATTCCTTCAGCCCAAAGTCTTGCTGAAATAGCCAGGTCTTAATGGAATTGCAGAAAGCTCTCAGGGTTGGGGCCAACCAGATATTAGGAGCAATGCTGTTCCAGCAACTGAGAGGGCTCAGCTCCAGAATTCCTGCAGGAGATTTTCCCAAAGGGATGGGATGTAGAGGGAGACTTCGCTTCCAGATCTCAACAGCTGGGCAGAGACTGTTGGGAGAATGTGGTCCCACAGATATCAAGGTCCAACAGGAAGACCTTCCCTTCACTAAGGAAAGGTCCATCTAACTAATCTATTAGAGTTTTTTTAGGGTGTTAATAAACATATGGATAAGGGTGAGCCAGTAGACAGCATCTTTTTTGATTTTTAAAAAGCCTTTGATAAAGTTCCTCATCAAAAATTGAATAACCATGGAATAAAGGCAGGTCCTCTTGCCAATAAACAACTGGCTAAAGGATAGAAAACAAATAGTGGGATTAAATGGACATTTCTCACATTGGAGGGATATAATTAGTGGGGTCCCCCAGGGCTCTGTCTTAGGACAGGTGCTTGTTAACATATTTATACATGATCTGGAATCGGACATGATTAGTGGAATAGCCAAGTTTGCTAATGATGCTAAATTGTTCAGAGTGATAAAAACAATAAGGGATTGCAAAGGGCTCCAAAGGGATCTCTGCACATTAGGGGAGTGGGCATCAAGATGGCAGATGCCATTCAATGTGAGCAAGTGTAAAGTGAAGCACATTGGTACCCAAATCCTAACTACTCATACAAATTAATGAGATCAGACCCAACAGTGACTGATAAGGAAAGAGATCTTGGAGTAATGGTAAACAGTTCAATGAAGGTGTTGACACAGTGCGCGTCTGCTGTAAAAAAGGTCAACAGCATGTTAAGGATAATAAGAAATGGTATTGAAAACAGAGATGCCAATATCATAATGCCCTTATATGAGTCAGTGGTGTGATCATTTCTGAAATATTGTGTGCAGTTCTGGTTGCTGCACCTCAAAAGGGAGATAGTGGAGCTAGAGGAGGTTCAGGGGAGGACAACTAAGATGATCTAGGGGCTGGAGCAGCTTCTCTATGATGAAAGGTTGCAAGATTTGGGGCTTTTTAGTCTAGAAAGGAGGCGAATGAAAGGAGACATGATTGAAATACACAGATTTATGCATGGTGTAGATTAAGTTAACATTTAGAAACTATTTTCCCTTTCCCAAAAGATCAGAACCAGAGGCCACTTAATGAAATTGAATCCTGGAAGAATCAGGACAGCCAAAGTTTGTTTGTTTTTTTTAAACACAATGCATAATTAAACTTTGAAATTCACTATTACGAAATGTGGTGCTGGCTCCCAGCTTGGTGGCTTAAAAGAAGGGTTAGACAAATTCATGGGAATCATCAGGATCAGTGGTTATTAGCCTTGATGAAATGTGATTGCCTCTGAAGGCCATCTGCTGGGAGACTAGTGGGCTTCTTTACACAGTTGTTTGACCACTGTGAGAACAAACTGTTGGACTAGATTCGTCAGGGGTCTGATTCAACAGGGCACTGCTTATGTCCCTGAGTAAAAGGAAGACTGATAAACCTGTCTACCAGATTTCTGTCAAGCCTCTGTCCAAAAACTGTCCAGCTGATAGGTTAGTGGGGTGGAGGACAGACCATGATTCCTCAATGTGCCATGTGAACATCTCCTAACTTCACCCTGGTGTGCCTTCTCTCCCCTACCCACTGGGCTGGGCTGTTTTGGAACACACGTCTACCAGTCTTCTGGAAGGCTGACAAACCTGTTTCAAAAACAGAATTCTACTAATCTTCCAAAAATAGCCCAGGTGACATGTTCATAGTGTGGCGCACACACCCACTGGCAACCTGTCACTCAGGCTATTTGATTGTTGATGATGGTTTTCCCTACTGCCTGGTGACAACTGCTGTTCTTAAATTGCATTGTGGTAAAGCTATAAGGGCAGGGCCACTTGCAAACCTCGCTACTGAAACAGTTCATCCATTGGACTAGTGCAAATTAAGCTGGTTTCCTGCCAGCTCAAGGGCTGGAGAAGTACACATTAACATGTCCATGAAGAAGAGCCCCCACTATGCAATGTGGTCTTTAATTAAAATCAAAATAGCATCTCAGTAGCCCAGTAAAAAATCTCAGTTGGTATAGTTTTGCCCTCTAATACAAGTTTCCTGCTTACTCTTGGATAATATCCATGAAGATGTTATTTAAACAAAATGAATTGTTTAAGGAATTAGTAAGTTGAGAAGGGCAGTCTTCCTCCCCTCTCTGGTGGTAAAGTCATTGGTGGCTCATCCCAGAGCATTGATGCTGAGGCAGGCAGGCAGGAGAGAGAGAGAGAGAGAGTGTCTGTTTAGGTTTGTTAACTGTGTAGCTGTTGGCTGTGACACAAATTTACCCAGAGCAAAATGTGAGCAACTGTCATTTAGTAAATGCAGCCTTTTCACCATGTCAAGTAAGGGAATCCCCTTTCCAGTTGATTGCCATGGCCCTCAAGTAGGGTTACACACTGTGAGTTGTGGGAATCCTTTCTTGCTTTATAAATCAAGGAAGTGAAAGCCTCTTTCCGTGATGAAGGAAGTTCTTCACACATTCGTTACCTGAATTAAAGGTTCAGTCAGGATTTCTTGATGAGTCTTGTAATATCTTGCAGAAATACCATTGGGTCCTGGAGTTTTATTCATTTTAAACTTTTTAATTGCTTCTTTAATTTTGTCTTCTGTTATGGGTCGGTTAAGAGTCTCTTTTTGCATAGAATAACAGATTGTGACATTATCATTTTAACGTATTGGCTTCAGCCCCTTCCCTTTCCTTTAAGAGATATATTTAGCTTTGCACCTCTCAATAAAATTAGCTGCTCATGTTCTACCTAGTCTCTAAAAGTATGATAGTGATATTCCACCAAAGAAGGGATGTGATTTATTTATTTACTTACTTATTTTTGGTGGTGAAACAGACATTTAAACTTGCACCATAGGGCAAGTGTTCTAGATAAAAATAAAATGAGCAGCTTTGGCTGATCTACTCTTTCCACAAAATGATGATGATGATGATGATGATGATGATGATGATGATGATGA